AAATTATAAAAACATTGACTGGTATTATACAACAGATACAAGTTTTAACCAAAAACCTAAGAATCTGTTAAATATCAGAGCAGTATGTGTTCTGTTCCTAATATTGTTGGGTTTTGTATCTCTGATGGTCTGATTTCTGAGATCTGCAACTGCTTATAGTACTGTGTGAAATTTATTGATCTTGTTCCCAAAACCCTGATGACTACGGGGACCACTGAAGTGTTTTTTTCCCAAAGGTGAGATGTTTCGATGGCCAGGTCTCTGTACTTTTTTAGTTTTTCCAATTCTTTGTTTTCAACTCTGGCATCCCATGGAATTGCAGTGTCAATGATCCAGACATTTCTTCATTCTATTACTACCATGATCGGTGTGTTATGTTCAAGGTGTCTATCTGTTTGGATCCGGAAATCCCACAAGATCTTTTCTGACACCTTCTCTACCTGATGTTCCCATGGGTTTTTTACACACACACACACACACACACAGAGAGAGAGAGAGAGAGAGAGAGAGAGAGAGAGAGAGAGAGAGATAATTTTGCCAGTCTATCATGTCTAATTTTGTAATCCATTTGAGCAATCTCTGGACATTCAACAGATGAGGTGTGACACAGTTTCATCTTTTTCTATTATTGTTATTAACTTTAATGCCATTTTAGCAGAAAATACTGGTTACTAAAAATTATCATTGCTGGTTTAAAAAGAAAAGTGAACTGTTTGGCTGGGTTGCATCCTGTCATCATTCTGGGAGGGGCAGAATGGTTGCAGGGACTGGTAGCCTAAACCTTTCTCCTTCTCTCTCTCTCTTTGTGTGTTTCTGTGTGTTTTCGTTCCTCTGCCCCATCCCATCTAGTTCTCTCTCTGCCGGTTGCCGTGGAGGGCTGTTCATGCTCACCATCTCCCGGATGATCATCCGGATGCGGGGCCTCCTCTTCTCGTCCCTTGTGCGGCAGGACATGGCTTTTTTCCAGGAGGTGAAAACAGGTGAGGGACCCCCTCCCCCCAAGTCAGGGCCCCACACTTCGAGTAGCACTTCTGAAATAATTGAAAATAGGAATTATAAGTTCTGCTATGTGAGGAATTTCTGAAAATGATACTCAGAAGTTAAGACTGAAAGGATGATATCCCAGCCTAAAAATTCATCAATGAGACATGTGTACAGTCGTACCTCAGTTTATGAATTTAATGCGTTCTGCGGGACGTTATGTAATGCAAAAAAATCGTGAACCGAAATATAGTTTGCTATAGTGTAGAGGTGGCACTATAAACCTCCAGGCACAATGCATCCTGGGGAAACTTCCTTCGTATTGTGGAAAAAAAATGTAAACCAAGGCATTATTTTCGATGTATTTCTGTTTGTAAACTAAAAATTACATTAACCGAGGTGTTTGTAAACCAAGGTACTACTGTAACTTGAGTGAGGAATGATTAAAGAAAGAAAGAAAGAAAGAAAGAAAGAAAGAAAGAAAGAAAGAAAGAAAGAAAGAAAGAAAGAAAGAAAAAGAAAAGCTACCTCTACTTGGAGTTTTAGAAACAAATTTGAAAACTTTTTTTTTTGTTATCAGAATGATTTAAAAATATTTATCTTTATTGACCAAAAGCCTCTTGTGGATTTACAATGGCACAAGTGTAATTGGATAAATCACAGGAGTGAATGGCTACTAATTAATTAAGTTGCTGCTTATGCTTACAAGCCTAGTCATGTGCCAGATTTTGGAAAGACTTATCTACAACATTTTGCATTCAGTTTTTCCATACATAAAATGGGTATAGTCTTAATCCTATAAAAATTAACCTGTAGGAAATGTTTTATATGGTGCATTTACAAGGGAAATGACAGCTGGTGTATTTTTATATGATTTTACTTGCCTGATGTTGAATCAGACCCTGAGTCTAGGAGGTGCAAATTCTAGTTTCCTTAACACACACTTTGTGCATACATACCACCAGAGTTTCCCATTGTGTCATCGTTCCATCTTTTGTGGACCTCCTCTCCTCTTGCCAATAACCTGTCATGTGGCTCCACAGGGGACTTGACTTCTCGCCTGTCCACGGACACGACCATGATGAGCCGCTCGGTGCCGCTCAATGCCAACGTCTTCCTGCGCAGCCTGATCAAAGTTGTGGGGCTGTACGGGTTCATGGTCAGTGTCTCGTGGCGCTTGACCCTCCTGACCCTCATCGAGACGCCCCTCATGCTGGCTGTCCAGAAGTTCTACGACGTCCGTCATAAGGTATGCCCAGGAGCAGGTGCAAAACATGTTGGCTTTGGGCAATAATAAATATAATATATAGTTCCTGCCTTATATAACGGCTTGGCCAACTTCAGACGCTTTCTGATTGGTCAGAATACTATGCTACACAAATATAACATTCTGGTCTGTCAGAGAAAACATGTTTAAACATGCAGATACATGTATACATGCTTGTGTTGTCTAACTGGTTGACATCATTAAAAGACAATATTTAAAACTTCAAACAATAAATAAAGAGGCAGTATTAAGGCAAAGATCAATAAGTATACAAACTTTTTAAAAATGCCACTCTGAAAAAGTCTGCCTTAAATACAGTTTATAGACCACGTATGCATGCTTTTATTTATTTAT